TCCTCCATGCTGCATAGTATTCCATCGTGTGAATGTCCATGATATAGCAAGATAGGAACTCTTAAATCCAAAATCTCTGTAAATGTTCATTAAAATTAAAAGGAAAAAAAAAGATAGGAACTCTTATACATTGTTGGTGGAACTGAAAAATGGTTCAACCATTCTGGAAGGCAGTTTGGCATTTCCTCAAAAAGCTGAATATAGAAATTCCATATCACCCAGCTATTCCACTGCTTGGAATATTCCCTGTGAAAATGAGAACTGAGGCACAAACAGAGACTTGTACACCAATGCTCATAGCAGCAGTATTCACCATTGCAAGAACACGGAAACAGCTCAGATGTCCAATCACAATTGAATGAATTGAGAAATTACGGTAGAATCACACAATACAATACTATAAAGCACAATTAAAATAAATAACATGGTTTTCTTTTTTTCAATGTAGCTATTGGAAAATTTAAAATGGCATCTGTGGCTTATATTGTTGATCTACTGGACAGCTATGGTGCAGAGAGATAAGAGGACATTTTCATCATCATCTTAAGTATAAAAGTATATGTAATTTTAAGAGGAAAAACACTCAAAATTCAAAGGCATCAAAAAAACCCTGACTAGTGGGCAAACTAAATGGAGGGTAGCACAAATATAAAGATAATAATAAAATATCTCAAATGGATATAATCCCATAGTTTTGAACATAGTGTTCTAGCAGACATAAAAACCTACCTTGTTTATTTCATTCACAATAAAGTCTTCTGAAGCTGTAACTTCTGGGATGCCATCCAGGCCAATTCCTTGACAAGTCAAGCTGCCATACAAAGTTGGTTTCCCTGTACAGTATAAAAGAAGGAAGTCTCAAAAATTAATAACAATTTCACATTTTCCCCTTGATTAATCATTAGAAATGGTAGGAAATTTAGCCATAAGAATACTTGTGTTAAAAGTGGACTGAAGGGAAAAAAGAGCTGCAGTAGACAAAGCTAATTTGGAAGAGAGTATTCTCATGGGCTTAAAGATAAGACTAGGGATTTACAGGTAGGATATAGCATTTGTAGAGAGCTACCAGAGTGCTTTCAACTTCACTCTTTTAATTTTTGGGAGCTCTGGTGGCCTAGTGGCAAAGAGCTGCAACTACAATCCCAGAGGCACACAGTTCGAATTCACCAGATGCTCTGCTGGGGAAGGAGGGACAATCTCCTCCTGTACCAGTCAGATCTGATTTGATGGTACACGCACATAAAAATAATAAAATTTTTTAAAAAATTTTTTTCTTAATTGTTTTGTACCATCAAATCGGATCCACCTGGCACAGGAAGAGATTGCTCCTCCTTCTCCAGTGGAGAAATGCGCACCTTCAGGATTGCAGCATAACGTCTTGCCTCTAGGCCACCAGAACTCCTCAACTTCACTCTTACTGATAGGGAAACAGAATTCTTCCAGGATGAACGATGAAGGTCAAAAGGGATGCAAGTCCACAACAAGATAAAGGTAAATAATGCAACTGAAAAATGGGCACAGGATATGGACAGACACTTCACCAAAGAAGACATTCAGATGGCAAACAACCATATGAAGAAATGTTCAAAATCCCCAGCTCTGAGACACAAATCAAAACAACTATGAGATATCATCTCACCCCAGCAAGAATAGCAAAATTTAACAGAACAGCAAACATCAAATGCTGGCGAAGTTGTGGAGAAACAGGAACCCTTATTCACTGTTGGTAGGAGTGTAAAATGGTGCAACCACTATGGAAGGCCATATGGCGCTTTCTCAAAAAGTTGCAAATAGAAATACCATTTGACCCAGCAATTCCACTACTGGGAATACATCCTAAAGAGACCATAATTGCCACCCAAGCAGATATATGCACATCCATGTTTATTGCGGCTTTGTTCGCAATGGCAAAGAGCTGGAAACAACCCAAGAGCCCATCAACAAATGAATGGATAGAGAAGCTGTGGTATATTCATTCACACAATGGAATACTATGCTTCATTCAAAAACAAGGAACTCATGCAATATTATGCAAAATGGATGACCCTGGAAGACATTATGCTGAGTGAAACATCTCAGTCACAAAAGGAAAAATATTGCATCAGACCACTGTTGTAAAACAGTACTGACATCGGGGTTGAGGGAAGACAGAAAAGGAGGGTAGGAATGATGTGTATTGCATTGAAACAGATGAGGGATTGAACTGTCATAAGAATAGGTATTCCTGTCATTACAACAGTAGTCCAAAGTCCAAAGTGAAGGCTGCATTGGGGAGGAGGGATTGCGTAACAATAAAAGAGCTTTTCTTTTTCTTTTTCTTTTTCAAGAAGAATCAATTCGGGGGGAAGGTGTGGGTAGGGAGAAAAGTGCAATAATGAATGACTGGAAACCCTAAGTCTCTGTAAACTTTCATTAAAATTATTATTTTTTTCTGGAGTGCCCGGTTTATTGAAAATATTATAGCACAACAGACTCAAATGGCTCTACACGGTGTTTTGAAATTCATCCCAACTATGGGCTGAGTGACTTGCAGGTTGGACAGACTGCCAAAGTCCAAGAGTTTCAGCATTTCCTTAGTATCAGGATCTACTTCAATGATCTCCTGATCCAGGGCTGAAACCTGTGGTACATAATCACCTCTCCTTTCTCTCTCCTCCTCCTGCAGCTTAATAGAGATAGATGCCTCTCACAGGCCCTCTCTGAATCCCCTTAATCAGATGTGTGACATAGCCTGCTATCTTGTTTCGGAGTTTCTGGCTGGGAATAATGGTGATCTCCTTGAACATGTGCTTGTTTATGTGCAAGTCGTTACCCAGGCATGTGTAGTATTTCTCAATGATGACCCGGTCCACCTTCTTCATGGTTTGGGCGCGAACGCGGCCCATGTTGGTGGGTCCATGGAGAGCTAAAATTAATTTTTTAAAAATGGCCAATAAACATACGAAAAAGGGGAAAAAAGAATGTATGTTTTTTTTGTTTTTTCCTTTTTTTAATTTTTAATTTTTTTTTTTACAGAGTTTTTGGATTTCCATTCATTCACTCATTGCCACAATTTTCTCCCTTCCCACCCCTCCCCACCAGCTTGCTTCCCCCTCTCCAAAGAGAGAAAAGAAAAAAAGAAAAAAAATTCCTTCATTAGTATACAATTCCCACGTCCCTTCCCCCCCACCCCCCACCCCAAGTACACTTCTCTAAGCAACCTTAATTCTGGATTCCTAAGAATGCATGTTTTATATTGGTTTGCATACAGAAAAAAAGGATGAATGTATTTTATCTACAGTATAATTGGAATTAATCACAACTGAGTTTTTGTTTCTTAAAAACACACATAATATACAAAGTTAAGGTTTAGTAATTAGAAAATTTGCCTAAGTAAAACATGGCTTTTGCAATGATATAGCTAAAAACCCCCATTATTCTACTAATAAAATCATGTAAATGACAGTGTGAAATTATTATAACATCTCATAACACAGTTTACACATAGGATATATTGTGAAGTCCTTGAGTTCAGGAATCAGCAGGGAGTTTAACCAATACAAGGTATTCAGTAACTAAGAGATGCACAAAGCTGAGGTTCTAAGAAAAAAAGAAAAGTAGGAAGCATCATGGGTTCAGAGTAGAAGGGCTTTTTTAGCAATATCTGGGATTAGAAAGAAAGGTAGGACCTCTCTACTCAGAAGAAACCAAAAAACAAAACAAAATCCAATGTCATCACATTGACTCTGAAAGATAATGCTTCCTCCAGTTTCCAAGGCTGTAAATCTTTACGAGATGAGACTGTCCATCTTTCCCCCCTGAAGCAGGTGGTGCATTCAAATAGCTGACCCTCTTGTTAACAGCCTGATATGTTAGACATGACACTATCAGGGCTCCTTAGACAGAAGAGAAGGCGAGGAAAACTCCAAGTTATGGAAATGCATGTCAAGATTAAAAAAGATGCATCTAAATTCCAAAATCAATCTCCATAATAGTCTATGTGTTTCCTACTGCCAAGGGGGCACTTTAGAGTAGTGAGAGAAGACATTCACCCTGAAACCCACAG